ACACAGCGAATTTTCAAAGGTACCGTGGCACTTTCAAATTTTTCTATATGACCATACCTGACATAACACATGTCTTACTAGATAGCTTAGGCAATCCAAATTCCTGAGCAATATTTTTTTCTATGATGGTTTTTTGGGCTCCAGTATCGAAGAAGAAGAGAACTTTTTCAGATTTTTGTTTACAATTGTTGAAGAGGTTTCCCTCGGCTGTCATAAGTATCAATTGTTCACGAATTTTATTTGGGATGAACGATTCTGAAGAGTGGTGGAGTTCCTGCTCTGCCTGCACTAACTGTGTGCTGGTCTGTTGCATTCTACGTCCATCATCAGTATTGCGGTTGTTGAACCTGTTATCACTTGAATTTTGCCCGCGTCTTTGCTGTACGGGTGGATTTGCAGTTTCATTTCTTCGTTGTCTTCGATCAAGCGGTGGTTGCCACGCTCGATTAGTGGCTGGAGGATTGCGCCCCAAACACATGCTGGGATGGTGTTTCTGACCACAGGAGTGGCAGTCAGGTTTGTTACATTGAATGCTGGAATATGTTTTTGCAGGTATTTCCAGCATAACCTTTTGCTTTTGGTTACCTTCCTTCGTTTCTGGACGTCTGCCACAGTTCTGCACGAAACGGAGGTGTGATTTGTGCGACTACAAAACGCACAGCTGAATGCTGGTCTTTGTGGGACATCTCTTTCTGTTTCGTTGTTGAAACCCCACTGAGCTTTAACGAACAGTTTTGAGGAGATTTCCTTCTCCAGCTGTTTCAAAAGTTCGCTTATTGTGATGCCTTTGTTTTCTTGGAACTGCGACAGAATGTCTTTAACAACATTATATGGAAATTTTTTGATGATAGTTTCGGTCCACATTGGGTCACTCATCGCTCTGATATCATAGTCGGTGGAGACTAGTTGGTTAATAAGTGATTTTATAGTGTCCAGGCGGTCATCACAACCTCTGGCGTTGCGTGTTGCTGGTTTGAGGTCAAACAATTTCTGTATTATTCTCGATCTGTTCGCTGGTTGATTTCCAAATTTTTCGCTCAATGTATTGATCTTCCAGTCGTAATGTTTTGCTACCGGCTGAGTGCCCTTTATTGCCTTTTCTGCCTTACCTTTCAAACTGTCCTTCAGTAGGAAGATTTTCTCAATTTAACTTATTTCGTTGTTGTTGTGAATAAGCGATTCAAAAATTGCCCAGTATGCAGGAAATTCCTCTTGCTCACCATGGAATTTGGGCAAGCTTACATTTGGAGGCACTGACCTTATCCTTATAGGTTCAGCATTCAAACTATCCTCCGTTCTCGCAGAGTTCGAATCTTCTAGGCTATGCGCCGAGGTAGCTTCCAAACAAGAACTTGCAGAAATAATTTTTGGTCTGCGTTGTGCTTTTGCCAAATTTGCTTTAGTAAGTGTGTAAGTTGCGACTCCAAGATATGTAGGAATGT